CCCCAGTGTGTGGGGTTCACTGTGCTGTAAGTGCACGCTTACTGTTACGCCAGCATATAGAGCAGAGGACAGAGACATGAAGCAAAGAGCCATCACAGTTGTTGTCCACAGTTTAGTAGCTGCAGGTAGGACACTTCAGGACAAGGATGCTCCCAGAAGAGCAGAACAGTTTTCTTGAATTATATTAATGTTTTAGCCATCCGTGTGCTTTCTGGCCACCAGAAGGATCCCCTGGGTGAGTAAAAGAGGTAGAGCAAGGGACGGTGGGTTTCCACCAAGAGGAGCTGGAGAACCGAACCAAAAGAAAACAAAATGTACAACAATCAGGAAAGGCCCTTGCTCCAACATGCAGATGAGTGGTTTGCTGCTTCAAAAATGCAGCTCATAAATGAGAAGACCACGTGAGTTGTTTGTTCCTGCCAAGTCTATGTTCAGGCCCGTAAGGATCAGGCTGGTGCCTGTTCTCACGTGGGCCTATGAGGGCTCAGCAAGAGAAGAGTCAGTGAGCCTTGTGCCGGGCCTTGCATCCCAGGGCCCTGTCCAGACGAGATGTCCCCTTTGCACTTTCCCAGCCTCTAGGCCTTGTATTTTGTCTGTCCCTCGCTCTGTGGTCAGTGATCCTCGGAGATAAGGACAGCTTAGTGAGTGTCACTTCCATCCGGTCTCCCTTGGGTAATGCTATGCTCCTCCTGTCCCGCGTCACTGAGCCGCCAGGCCCCTGTATAATAAGCAGGCTCACCGAAAAGCAGTCCTTTCCGGCAATAAAACTAAATCTTTTAATCTCAGAAACCCTCATATTGACCATGTGCAGAAAACCATGCAAATTTTAAAAAATGTAAATATTGACGTTCTGAGGTTTTTCTGTGTAACCCGATTTAGTTTGACTTTCCCATTATTTCTGCTATTTCCGGGGGCATTTTACTGAATCCAGGTTTATAAAGCAGCACAGGGGCAGTGTTATTCAGAAGGTAATAACATGGTCTGTGGAGTCCGCCAGACCTGAGGTTGAGTCCTGGATCTGCAGTTTCACCATGTCCCCTCACATCAGAGCTCTGAGCCTCGCTGTCCCCATCTGTACAATGACAGCGATGGCACCCACCCACCGCCAGCGCTGGGAAGACCAAATGAGCGGCCTCCTGTGAAGTTCTGTTAATTCAAAAACTGCATTTTGCCTGATCTCACTCCCAGAACCAGATGAGTGATTCATTTGTGATGTTTTTTCCTCATTAGAAAGCTTTAGCTAGACAAAGGTCATTCCGGATTCTTTTAACAGGTGAGATACATTCATTTTATTGAAAGAAATAAAAAATATTATTTTTAACACTTTGTACCTTGCTATTAGAAGTCAAGTCTTATAACATCAGTAAGTTTTCACTTCAGGTTACTTTCATTTCTTATCCTTTCACTGTGAGCAAGGCAGCAAGAAAGGCATCCTTTCTGTTATCTTGCATACGAATGTGAAAATACCTTCTATGTACCAAGTACATCTCTGTGAGTATATTGTTTGTTTTAATCTAGCCTTTTTTTTTTTTATGTCAGAAAAATCTTCAAGTTCCAGTGTAATAATAAGGACTAGAAATGCTTATGAAAAAGTACATTAAGAGATAAGGCTATTCTTGAAGACTCGGGGCCATATCAACAGGTTATTATATTTTTGTAATTCTATTAAATCCAGGCATGTGCCCGCCAAATTCATGACTTTATATAGGGTGTTTTTTTTTCCTTTTTTTTTTTTTTTTTTTTGCTTTTTGCTTTATAGAATTCATGCTAAAATAAAGGACTGTGAATTCCTTTGCCAATTCTTTGAAGGAAACAGTAGAATCTGACCTACCTCAAAGGAGTATTAAGAGAAACAACCGAGTTATATTGCTGCAGGCTTAGGATCTTTATTAAATAGTCTGGTAGGTCAAATCTGCCTTAGCTGCACAGAGTGATTCCATATGCTTTCCTCTGAAACTTCTCCTTTGTATCTGTAAGTGGGGCTGTTCTGAGCCCAATGTGAGAAGCAGCAGTGGACGAGAAGCTCTGTGATGAGGAGAATGCACGAGACATCCACACACAGACTACTCATCCTGATCAGGACGCCCTCAACCCTGGCAAGGCTCGGACTGGCTGCTCTCTCTCACACTTTCTCCTTGCTGCTCTGCTCCCACCACACACAGGGCCTGAGCTTATGCGCACCCGTATGCATACAGCCTTCTTCTCTTAGAAATGCAAAGTGTAGGCAATGGCGTTCTAGAAGAAAAGGTACCATGATCCTCTGCTTTGAAGAAAACTCTGTATTCAACCCTTTGATTCTGCTAAATATGCAGAAGCATGAAGCCAGGCAATCAGGCAACCACATGTAGCTCCAGATGCATCATACATATGGGCCATTGTCCACACTGCTCGGGAGGCTGGCAGCATTTTAAAAAATGGTCATAACACATATGGTCCCTTGCTTGTTGCTCTGGCTTCCGAGGTCTTGCTGATCCAACCACATCATCCTTATGCTGTTTCCAGGAAAGCAAATCTCTGTTTTCTCTCAGGCTGTGAACTCCCTGAGCTTCCCTAGCACAAGGTGGTGGAGAAGTTAATCCAAATGACAGTGACGGGCAAGGAGCTTTGCCATACCCCCTGCTCTTGCAAGGAGAAGGGACAAGTGTGAGGTGTCACAAGAGGAAATTAACTGGATTGGACCCTCTCAATTTAGTGTCTGGGACCCCCACTCAAGCTTTTAAGCTGTAAGAGATGATACTTTCCAATTTCCTTTCTAGCCAAGACGCCATGTTTGATTCAGGGTGGAGTGTAAATTGTTCGTATTTTCTAAATGTCCTACTTCCCATCTCTCATCATCCAAAACTTCAAAAAACAACTTAAGGGAAGTTGTTTTGTTTATGTAGCTATTTATAAATTGTTATTCAGTTTGAAGTCTTGCTGGTTGCTGAAAACTTTACCAAAACAAATGGTTTTGACAGACATTTATTTCTCAGCCGTTACTTTGCTGTTTACACACCCACATGATTACCCTGAACAGCACTGCAAAGAAATTGCAAGATAATGCTGCCTCAACACATGCTAGGTTTACAAAGTGATTATAAATGGTTTTTAAAGAAAATAATTCCCATTCCTTTCATTGTGTTCAAGCTTCTCTACATCATTGTGCCCCACGCGCATTGGGAGACTGGTGGGTAAGTCGGGGCACACAGCCAAAGCAATTTAGCTGTTTTTCAATAGACAGATTATATTAGTGCTGCTTATACTTTCACTTTTAAATTAACTTGACCAACATTTATTGAGTACCTTCAACATGTTGTAAGGAAGCTTTACCTCTCTTTGGGTTTGAGTTTTTTACTTGTTTTGATTAGTTTTGTGAAAGGAGGACTTTATAGCTATGAAAAGGCAGTGGTAGTTACTACAACCTAGATATGGAAAAAAAAATCGATTCATTCCTTGAATGCCTCCGTCCTGGAGCCACTTATAGTAATGGCAGCAAGACTGTGAAAAGGCAAGAACGGGGCCCTGAACAGAGCTCCAGGGATCCGTCTGCAGCGGTTACAGCAGGTGTGGGCGGTAGGAAATTAATAGATAGAAGCACTGCGAGGGGGGCTGGCATTTTATCTATCCTGTGAACAGGTTTAGGAAATATAATTGGCTTGTGCTCAGAAAACTGAAATACGATTTTTGTGATAGTAATTTTCCCTGCAGCTTTGGCATTTTCCTTTCCATTAAACTTCTTAGTTTTTAGGGAGGGTAATACAGCCCCTGTCCTGCTTTGTCATTTTGGGATGATTTATTTTAAAATTATAGTAAGGGATTTTGGGTCAGAATTCCACGAGGCTAATTTCAAACCGAGTTTGCTGACTCCAACTAGCCATAAATGGTCCCCACCTCCAGCATATAGAACAGGAAGTGGCATGCTTGCGTGCCAGGAATAAGGCAATTGCTCAGATGGAATAACACTTGGCAGTTTGGGGAAATTTGTTGGTGGAAGCCTAAATCGTAGGTTAGAGACTGACTTGTGGGATGCACTTCTGCCAATTATGGTCCATTGTGCAGTCAAAAATGGGAAAAATTACTTACTGCAGCTGGTTCTTTGGCACTGAAATCACTGATGGAATAATCAGAGGGAAATCTTATAAGTTATTAGACAAGATGGATTGTCATACAGGATGCTGGTTTTGTGGCTTATCTGCCTTGCCTATCTCACAGGACATGAAGGAGGAAAGGGAGCTGGGGAACAGTTGGGTGGTCCTTAGCACTGACTCACTTAGTGATAACTGAGACCTGCAAATGACTTTTCTCTTCTGCCACTGAAGGGGCCTGTGATTTTTAACAGTTGGGGCCTTAAGAGTACCCTTGTCATGATGAGCACCAGGTGATGTATGAATTGTTTTAATCGCTGTGTTGTATACCTGAAACTAGTATAACACTGTATGCTAACTAACTGGAATTAAAATTAAAATGTAGGGATGCCTGGGTGGCTCAGTTGGTTTAGCGTCTGCCTTTGGCTCAAGTCATGATCCCAGGGCCCTGGGATGGAGTCCCGCATCAGGCTCCCTGCTCTGCGGGAGAGTCTGCTTCTCCCTCTGCCTGCCACTCTGCCTACTTGTGATCATTCTCTCTCTCTCTCTCTCTCAGTCAATAAATAAATAAATAAAAATAAAATCTTTAAAAAATTTTAAAAAAACAATGTAAAAGAAAAAAAAAGAGTTGGGGCCTTAGAAAGGTTCTTTTTCAGTATGTCTCTTGTGTCTAAGGCCCTTGGCATAATTGGAGAGGAGGAGACAAGCTCTCTGAGTGTCTGTAACTGCCTAGTTTAGGAGCTTACATACTGTATACCTAGAAGTCTGCAGCTGGAATGCTGAACCCCAGAATAACTATAGCCAGTTATTACAAGCATGCCCATGACTGAATGTCCTTTTTTCTTTTTCATTCATGGACTTGTACATATCCTAAAAAAAAAAATCACTCTAAAAATAAGATTTGCAAAAGAGGAAATAAGAAAACACACTACTCACCCACATAGACCAAATGGGCTCCTCTCCTCACTGATGAATTCTAAGTCTTTTGAGTCTTTCTGTACTTGTCTCATTTAATGCTCCTTTCCCAGAAGACCTCACCATCATTCACCTCTGTGTCCTCCATCACCGTGCTCCCAGTATTGAGGACAGATCTTCAAGATGCCTTTCTTGAGGATCCCATGTCTTTTCTTTCTAATTTCCTGCTTTCATCCTCTGTGCTTCGGTCGAAATGTCCTGCTCGCCTCAGCCTTTTCTTTGGATTGTAAGTTCCCTGAAGGGACAGCTGCAGTAGACAGCTGATATTTTAGTGTACTCAGCATCTGCTTCCCCTCCTTCTGGAAATAGTGCACTACTTACTTGGGAGAATGTACTCTCTCCTACTTTGCGTGCAGGCTAGGTAACAACCCAGTTAAGATGTTCCCATTCTGGACACCTGGGTGGCTCAGTCAGTTAGGCGACTGCCTTTGGCTTGGGTCATGATTCCAGGGTCCTGGGATCAAGTCCCACATTGGGCTCCCCCTGCTCTATGGGGAACCTGCTTCTCTCTCTTCTTCTGCCTGCTACTCCCCATCTTGTGCTCTCTTTCTGTGTGTGTCAAATAAATAAATAAAATCATTAAAAAAAAAAAATGTTCCCATTCCTCTGTGCCCGGAGGTGGTCACATTATGCAAATGAGGCCACACAGAGCCTTGTGATACAGGTGGCCAGTTTCCTGGGTTATCTGCTTTACCTGCTGTTCTGAGAATTTGAGCTTTAAGTAGAATTCCTCCACAATGGAAAAGTTCTAGAGCTGATTCCTGTCAAGGGAGTTCTCTGAAGAGAAGGCAGTAAATCCCTGGTGCCTGCTTCCCATCCTTTATAAAGACCGGTCAGGTAGCTTTACCTTCATTCATGTGAGCTGCCCTATATCTTCCCAATAAATCCCTTTATTTTGTTCTGGTTGGCCCAAGTTGATTGTTGTTCACTGACAAAATATCCTGATTACAGACTTCATCTTCTAGTGCCCATGTAAAGGTCACAATGGGGTGCAACAGGTTAAAAACATTGTGAAGCTTGTTGCCTACAGTTTCAAAAGTTCTAGAATTCAAAGTGATCATGGATATGAACTAAACCAAATAATATTTTCCCTTATATCATTTCAATTCTACGAAGAGTTTTAGAAACTTGAGAGTTTAAAATGGTGAGTTAGAGTAGAAATAATGGAAATTTGCCACCTTCATAAAGTGAACTTTTTACTGAAGAACAGTTTTGAATTTATAGAATTACTATGGAAACAGTGCAGAGTTCCCATATAATTCACACCCAGTTACTATTAACATCTCACCTTACTATGGTACATTGGTCATAATTGATGAACCAATATTCATGTTGATCCATATTTTATTCATGTTCCTTCAGTTTTTCTCTAGTGTCCTTTTCTTGTATCTGAGTTTTACCCAAGAATCCACACTACATTTAGAAGTCTCATCCCTTAGACTCTCCATGGTATGAGGGATTCTCAGACTTCCCTTGTTTTTGATGGCCTTTATAGTTTTGAGAAGTATCAATCAGATATTTTATAGAATGTCCCTCAGTTGGAGTTTGTCTGACATTTTTCTAATGATTAGACTGAGCTATGTATTCTTGGCAGGAAGACCACAGAGGTAAAGCACCCTTCCCATCACATCACATCACATCACATCAAGGGTAGATGCTCTCAACTTGACTTATCACTGTTGATATTGACCTTGGAAATCTGGCTGAGGTTGTATTTGCCAGTTTCCTGCACTGTAATCTGTTTCCCCTTTCCATACTGTACTCTCTGGAAGGGAGTCAGTGTGTGCAGCCCGCACTTGAAAAGAGTTGATGAGTTACGCTCCACCCCCTTAAGGGTGGAGTATCTCATCAGTTACTCGTCATTCTTCTGCACAGGAAATTTGACTATCTCCCCTTGTCTGTCTACTTACCGTTTCAATCTTTCATTTAATTTGTATGGATGCATGGATATTTATCTGTATTTTAGATTATAATCCAATACTACTTTGCTTTGCTGCTCAAATTGTTCTGCTTTGGCCTTGGGAGCTCTTTAACTTGGCTCCTTGTCCCTTTGACATACTCCCATTCTTGTGGGGTTTTTGTTTCTGTTTTTGTTTAAGCACTTTCTTGCTTTCTGGCCATGCAAGGTGCTCTAAGTTTATCATGCTTATTTTCTGCCCTTGTTCTAGAATCAACCATCTCTCCAAGGAGCCCTAGTTCTTTTCTGGAGAATGGCATTAAAAACCAAGATCGGGCATTAGGTATGCTTGTTACTCCTGGGGTGTCATTGCTGCAGATCCCTCAGCCAGCAGAGCAAGGAGGTATGGGTTGGTATACTAACCCATTTGTGTATATATACCTGGAAATAATTCTATGGCTAACCATCTTGTCTATATTAAGTTAAACATGAATTCATACTGTCTCCAGCTCTAATGCCTTACCACACTGTCACCTTGTCCTCTTCCTTTCCTGTAACCTGCCTCCCCAGCAGTGAGAAAGCTGGCTCCCACCAGCCTCCCCACAAATACTTAATTGTTCAGTTCCCATCTACGGGGATTGTTCTGGTGTTGGGAACTCACACCCCTGTGGGAAACAGCTTCATCACCTGGAGGCCGGTGCTTGTAGTGCAGTTCATTTTACCTTTAGCCTTATGGATTCCGCTCATTTCTGGGGTTACTTAGATGAGCACCTTACCCCCTTCCTTCTGCAATGGGGTTGTTTTACACCATGATATTTTTTAAAGTATACTTTTATTTACTCAAAGGAGAAATACATAGCTGAAGATGTCAAATAGCGCTGAAGGGCTTCTAATAAAAATAGCAGTCCCCTCCTTCTACTCCTACTCCATCCTGACCCACTTCCCAAGAGCAGCACTTCCAAATCTTAGCTGTTCATGCCCATACGTCTCAGCAATGTGCCTTGTAGCTGTCTCTGAAGCTGTCGATTTTCAACATGATGCATTGATTTCCTATTATTGTAGAAGAGGATTAGCTTTATTTCACCTCCTTCCCCTTCCCCATTTCTTCACATTCATAGTTATTTCACATTTTATTTTCCTCCCTCCCTCCCTCCTTCCTCCTTCCTTCCTTCTCTACATCCAGCATGGAGTCCAACATGGGGCCTGAACTCTCGGCTCTGAATCAAGACCTGAGCTGAGATAGGAGTCAGATGCCTAACCAACTGAGCCACCCAGGCACCTCCGCCATTTTTTAATTAAGTCACTATTCAGTGTTTATTTTCCTTTTTGTTAATTTTTGAAAGCCCTGGAATTAATAATTACTTCATTCTATGTACTTATCGCTCTTACCCAGCCCATATTTTTTTTCTCATGTGATCAAACTTGTAAGATGACTTTTAGTCCTTCTTACTCCTCATTCTCACCTCCCATCCTCCCCCTCTGTTTTCTGGGTTACTTCATAGGCATAGGCATAAAAAGCCAGGAATGAGGCTGCTTGTATGTGGGAGCTGGGTGGAAAAGGAGACGGGGGCTCTTGTTTTATATGCAGGCTTTCACTTCATCTCCCTGTTCTCAGATTCGTGCATTCCTCTTCCTTCCACTGCGTCCAGTCACTGAGTTCCAAGCCTTTCTGAGTCCCCTTCTGTGACACTTACATACCTGTTCTCTGGCCTTGGGAGAATGTGGGTTGCAGGTGCTTGTGTGTGGGTATGAAGGAAATAAGGACCTGGGGGTATACGTGCTTTTTGTAAACACTTTCAAGCAAACTGCTTTCGACCCTGTGTCTCACCCCTGCTTCACAGGTAGCCGGCACCTCTCATTCCTGTACCTTCCTTAAGTTCTCTACGGTGATATGGCTTGTTTCTCTTAGGTCCCTCTCGATTTGCTCTGCCAAGTCGGCAACAATTCCCGTATTTGCTTTGCACCTTCACTTCATGTGATTCAGTGTTTCAGATGTCTTTAAATTTCCCAAAGATTGGGTTGGTATTTGTGTTTCTGAGACTGTAGTTGTTTGGGTGGGGGTGATTTTGAAAAGAAAAGGGAGCCCCAACTTAAACAAGAAGTCTTGTGCCTGGGCTGCATTTCCTATGACCCACACTGGACTTAGCTCATGTTACCTCTTTGGAGAAGGAGCAGCTGAGTCCTTTAAGCAAAGAAAGTTACTTTGGTTTTGGTTTACATAGAATTCTGACTGTTCCTCTGTCATGCACATGCCACACTGTACTGTAATCGTAATACCTCTGTCCATTTTCCCACTAGACTGTGAGCCCATCTAGGGCAGGAACCACATCTGTCTAATATGGGTGTACCCTAAGCCTTGCACTGTGCTGATTGTGTGACATTTACTTAATACATGGTTATTAAATCTAAGAATAAGTAAACAGGACTATGTTTGCCACAGTCACTCTGAACAGACCCTAAAACCTCTGGAATACATTGTCATTTCTCAGACACCAATCTTACAAGTTAAGGGATAATGTTGGGCTGAACTAGAATCTCACATTTTTAAGTTTTTACCCAGTTTTATGTCCCGTAACAGTGTTGCCTCTTGGTGTTCTAGGGTGACCTGGAAAGGAATTTTAGGAAATTGAGGATACTATAATTTAGGAGATTGACAAAAGAACTGGATTTTTCTAATTAGATAGAGACATCTTTCATACTTTAATATCTTTTCTGTGCAGATTTGCTGTGATTTGGGGTATAGCCTAACCTTTACAACTAATTAATTTAGCGGTGAAATTAACTTGGAAGTTTAGTTAGGGTTAAGATAAGAAAGCCACTGGAGTAACAATTAAGAATGTGGGCTCTGGAGTTAGAGCTGAACTTGAATCTTAGCTCCTTTGCTAGCCAGTAGGGTAGGTCATTAATTTTTCAGAGCCTCAGTTTTTCTATACTACATTTGGGATAATAACAATACATATATTATTGGGTGGTATGAGGATAAGATAAAATAATGTATGTAAACCACTTAGCATAATGCCTGGAATGTGATAAGCTTTCAACAAATATTACTCTATTTGACAGTTAAAGTAATGCCATGCAAGTATTTGATGGTTGTCTAAAATAACTTGAAAAAGTCTAGTGAAAAAAATTTGGGGGTGAGGATTGGGATTGGGCAAAGAAGATTTAGCAACCTAGGGAAGCAGGGGTACTTTCTTCACTAAGCCCTATTAAATTGAAAGATTGTGTTCTAGCAGCCAAGGAAAAGAGCAGCTATACAAACCATTTCTTATGATCTAAAGTCCATTAGCTACTCCATTTAGCTGTTAATGTTGTGAGGCCATCGGTGTAAATAAATGTGTTATTTGGTAATGGACTTGTTTTCTTAACAATTATAATATATTGTTCTCTCCAAAGGCTATAATTTAACTCTGCCATTCTGCTAATTAGTCAGCAGATCAGCCT